TGGCCAGGGGGTGAGGACGGAGGATGTGGACATCGTGGCTGGGGCAGTCAGATCTCCCAGATCTCGTGGCCTTTTCTTCTTTGTCTTCTTCTTACGAGTACCATTATTACTATTATGATTCGTATTCGTATGAATCGTATTAGTGTGTTTTACTGCTATTATCCGTAGTACCAATATTGGTAGTATATCCCCAGGACGAAAGTTTTTTCCTTTGGGGCCCAGAACGACGGCGTGAAGTCTTGAGCAGACCCGTATGAGATAACCGCCGTCGGATCCCATGAAGTTCGCGCGGGTCCAAATGTGGTTTTGGTGTTTGTTTCGGTGGATCCGATTTCAGTCCGTACGGATCCGATTTCGGATTAGCTGGATCCGTGTCCGGTCTCATTTTTTACGGCGGATCCGATTTCTACCCTTTTATATCACTAAATTAAAACAGGGGACCGGAAGAAATCGGATCCGCGGACCCCGCACACCGCCCGTGTTAAGATTCTATGGGGGAGGGGGGTTCGGTAATCAATTTTCCACGATGGGCCTTGCGTCGTCTCGCGCACTCTCACGCGAGCGGGCCCCGTTCAACATGAATACATACATCCCCCCCCCGGTTGCTGCAAAGAGCTCGTCCGGTCGCCGTCCGTTCGGCGGCGCCGACGTCGTCTCGCGAATTCCTCATGGCAATTTTCATCTCAAGAGGAAAATCTTTCGTCCTGCGTAAGTATTCGTTATATTGCTATCAGTGTTCGTGTTGTTACTCTTCTTCTTAGTGTCATCATTGTTATCCGTAAGGGCTTCGCCCCCTGCCGCCGGCCCCCTCTCTCGGAGAACGGGCCATGGAAGAGCGAAGTCAGGAGGCTTTGGCTTCGCCGTGAAGCAGTGTCGGGACCTGTTCGTTTTCGACCCTAACCTTACGGATCTGCGTGAGGGGTGCCGCCGCATTTCAGAAATGTGGGAAATCCTCTGTGGTTTTGGACCCTGACCCTGCGGATCTGCGTGATGGGTGCCGCCGAAGTTCAGAGATGTAGCAAATCCCCTGTGTTTTTGGACCCTGACCCCGCCGATCTGCATGAGGGGTGCCACCGAAGTTCAGAGATGTAGCAAATCCCCTGTGTTTTTTGACCCTGACCCCGCCGATCTGCATGAGGGGTGCCACCGAATTTCAGAGATGTAGCAAATCCCATGTGTTTTTGGACCCTGACCCCGCCGATCTGCGCGAGGGGTGCCACCGAATTGTAGAAAAGTGGCAAATCCCATGTGTTTTTGGACCCTGACACTTCGGATCTGTGTGAGGTGCGTCAGGAATTCAGAAATGTGGCAAATCCCTTGTGTTTTTGGACCCTGACCCCGCCGATCTGCGTGAGGGGTGTCAATTTTTACCCACCCCAGCAATTCAGACAATACGATTTGGGCGTGGTAAAAATGCCCGTTTGGGGCCTCCCCCCCTCGCGCGGTCCATCAACAAGGAACAGTAAGCAGCGAGAAGCAGAACTGCAACAAGGAACAGCAAGCAGCGAGAAGCAGAATTGTACCATTGGAAACTGGAAGCTGCAACTGGTAAAGGAAACTGCGAACCTCCGGCCTACAGCCAGGTCTTGGCATCGCTCGGACGTGTGCATTTTACTTTCGGCGAGGACCATCGAGGAGCATCCTTGATCATTTGGCGAGAAAACCACGCACGAAACCAAGAAAAGCACAGGAAATGGACGTCCGAGCGATGGCCAGTGGTGGCCCCACAAGGGGGGCCGGCGGATTTCAAGACGTCTCCGTGCCCCCCTTCTCGTCCGCGCACACGCATGCCTCAGGCCCTGATGCGCACCGCCCCCCTCTTCCGGGCCCCCCTCCTTCGGCGCACCCGAAGCTCCGGGACGGCAAAGAGGAGGGTGATGACTAGGGGGGGGGTGGATATCATGGCGTGGACCATGATATTTCCCCAGATTTCATGGCGCCTCTTCTTACTTCATTACGTCCCTGGCCCCCCCGCTGGGCCGCGCACATGCCGTCGGTCATGATTTGCACCCCCCCCTCTTGGACACCCCCCTCTTGGCCGCTCCCGAGGCAGGAGGGAAGGAAGGGCGGCAGCAGCAGCAGCGAGGGCAAGGGTGCCCGCGGTTCGGTCGCCGTCGGCTGCGCCGCAGTCGGTCGATTTCGGTCGCCTCGGTGTAGTCCGTTGCTGGAGTCGTTGTTGCTGCATCGCTGCGCTCTCCTGAGCTGCCTGCGGCCTGTCAAGTTTGGCTGCGGCTTCGCTTCCGGTCCGGTGTCGTGTTCGTTGTCGGTTCGGCCGGTTTTCGCGTGTGTTGTCGCCGCGGAGGGCATTGGTGAAATGCAGGATGGAGGAGGAGGAGGAGGAGGAGGAGGAGGAGGAGGATGAGGACGAGGACGAGGACGAGGACGAGGACGAGGACGAGGACGAGGAGGAGGAGGAGGAGGAGGAGGAGGAGGAGGAGGAGGAGGGGTGTTTGCCAGGTTTCGGATGCTCGCGGCGACGTTCGATTGGTTCGGTGGTCTTCGGAGGTTGGTTTTGAGTTATCTGGGGGCATCTGGGGGTATTCCGCAGCAGAGAAGCAGCAGCAGGAGCAGGAGGGAGTCTGGATGAATTCAATGTGTTCTCAGGTATAGGTACTTGTTCGAAGGGTCTAGAGGGTTCTTTGATGTTTAAGCGAAGAGGAGGAGTAGATTGAGGAGGACCGAGAGGAGGACGACAACGACCGAGAAGAGATGAGTGACCAGGGACGCTGTATGCCCGCCAGCCCATAAACGAGACCAAGGCGAATCCTGCCCTTCCCTCCCCTTCCCCCTCCAAGGTTCGGGGATCGAGGTCTTAGGAGGTCTTCGAGCCGCTCCCAGGCCTCAAGCTGTTGGCACAGCCGTGCAAGTCCCGCCTGCGCTGGTCGGAAGCGGTGTCCGCTCGCGCGAGTTTGTTTCTCTAGGCCAGATTGCGTTTGCCCCCGTCTTCCTTCACGTTGCGTATGTCGAGTCGAAGCCACACACACGCACAGACACACAAAACACATTTGGTGTATATAAACATATAACGGCGCACCGGGTCCGGGCGCCCGGGGCCGGCGCCGCTACCGCAAATGTGGGCCCCGGGGCCCTCGGGGAGCCCCGGGGCCGCACCGAAGGCCGCCAGAAGGCGCCAAGGAGGCCCCAAGAGGCTCCAGGACAGACCCGGGACGCCCGAAGGTCGCTCCCAGACGCCCAACATGGCCTCCAAGGCGGCTTCAGAAGCCCCCAAGACATCCCAAGCGACCCCCAATAGGGCGCCAAAGAGAGCCCCAAGGGGCCAAATTAGCTCCATTCCCTTCGTAAAACGTATTTTTTTCTAACATATATTGCTTGTTTTCGCTGTCGGTCCGTGCTTGACGACCTCAGAAGCTCCCAAGACCGCCCCAATACGGCCCAGGACGCGCCCCAGAGGGCCCCAATACAGCCCCAGAAAGCTCCAGGACAACCCACGAAGGGCCAAGACGGCCCAAGAGAGTCCCCAAGACGGGCCCGAGAGGGCCCCAGAAGAGGAAAGCCACCATCGAACTTCAAGCTTTCGACCCCAAGTGGCTCCAGGAGGCGCCAAGAAGCCCCCAAGAAGCGCCCGCAAGGCTCCCAAAAGCACCCCAGGACGCTCCAAGAGGCACCCCAAGAGAGCTCCAAGAAACTAAAATCCTTCCATTCCTATGGGAAAACGTATATTTTTCGCATGCTCGCCTCTTGGGCTGTCACCGCGTCCAAGACGGCCCAAGAGGACCCCCAGAACGGCCTAGGAGGCCCCCAAGACATCTCCAAAACGGCCTACGAGGAACGCAGGACGGCCCAATCGGCCCCCAAGACGGCCCAAGAGAAGCCCAAGAAGCGCCCGAGAGGGGTCCCAGAAGAAGACAGCCACTTTCGATGTCCGAGCTTTCGGTCCCAAGAGCCCCCAGGAGGCGCCGACAGGCCCCCCAGAGGCCCCAAGAGGCCCCCCAAAGCACTCCAAGACGCACCCAGGAGGCCTCCAAGAGGCCCCCAAGAGGCTCATAACTTGGTTCTAATGCGCCGGCGAGAGAGGCATCCAAGATGCCATGCGAACCTTCTCTCTGGGGCCGTAGGTGGATCTTCTTGTGGGCCAAGACCCTTGTCAGGGGTGTGCCGACTCGGGTGGATCGGATGCGAACATTGCCGGGGGCCGTCGGTTGAAGTCTATCAAGCCTAGCTAGAACTTGAGCGCGCGCGAAGCGCGCGCGATGGTTCTAGTGTATATGTATAGGTGCACGTGTGAATCGATATGTGTGCATTCTATGTTGTATACATACACACACATGTGTGTATGCGTAATCAGGTATATCTAGCTGTATATGTATACGTAAATACATAGTACATTGATATGTGTATATATATATATATACATATGTATGTGTATATATATATATATATATATATATATTCTGGCGAGGCTAGACGGTGAACCATCTCGGCCACGGGTTGGCTCTGATGGCCCCCTGGTGGCCCATAGGGGTCCCAGAGAGTTCCCGGACAGCTGCAGGCGCCCGCCGCCCGCGAGGGTCCGCGGCTTTGGCGGCGCCGAAGGCGCCGGCGCCGGGCGCCGCGGCCGCCGCGGCGCTGAGGACACCGAAACAGCAGCCACCCCCGCGGCGCGGGCGGCGGCAGCAGCCACCCCCGCGGCGCGGGCGGCGGCAGGCCAGCGGCAGCCGCCGCCGCCGCCGCGCCGCGGAGGGCGCCGCCGCAGCGTGCGGCGGCCGCCGCCGCCGCCGCGGTCCCCCCGGCAGCGGCGGCCGCCGCGCCCGCCCACGGGTGGGCCGCCGAGAAAGCGCGTCCACGGCGCGCCCACGACATGGCTGGAAGAGGCAAATTTGCAGAAACCTACACTTTCGGCGCTCCGCGCAGAGTTCTTGGATCCGCGCTGCGCCCCCACCCGCGCCAGAGAAGTTTATGGCTGAGCCTTCTGTTCTCCTGCTGACGGCGGCCGCCGCGAGATTCCGCCCTGCTGCTGTGGGCTCGAGCCAAAGCGGCTTGAGCCAAAGGGGTGCAGTCGGCCCAGATTAGTAGGTCGGTCCTGCCAGATCAAGGGTACCCTTGTATCATGCGTCTCGTGACCCAACCCATGCCTCCTACACTCGTAAGGCCATGTGGCCCTGGGAAGGGTCTTGTGTCCTCTCGCGTGTCCTGTCCAATCTAATCTGACCACACGGGCACACACGCTCACACGCACATACACACACATACTCACACGTACACACACACACACACACACACACACACACACGCACGCACGCACGCACGCACGCACACACACACACACACACACACACACACACACACACACACACACAACACACACACACACACACACACACTTGCGCGTGCGGACGCCGGGTTCGGCATGCGCCCGGGGAAGGCCTAAGAGACGTCGAAGGTGTCCAAATCCCTTGATCCCCGAACTCGAGGAAGGCGAGACGGAGCCGTTTCTTCTGATGGTCCCAGGGGCCGATATTGGCTTCCAGGGGCCAACATGGCGCCAAACAGTCCGCCCCCTATTGTTTTGCCGATCGGCGCGGGACCTCGCACCCCCCTCTTCCCCCCGCCCCGTGGAGTAGATCTTGGCTGTTTTTAGCGCCTGTTTCGAGCAGGTGGAGTCTCCCCCATAGGACGCACTGTTGCAAACAGTCGCAGTTAGCAGAGGCCTGGAGCCAGACCCCCCTCCCTCCCCCTTCCGCTCCATGTCGAAACGCCGCATAAGACAACGCTCACCAGTTTTCCCAGAGCAGCTCGTCTGTCAGGGTTGTATAGTTGGGTTCTGATGCCCAGTGAAGAGGCCCAGGCCTTAGTGGGCCCCGGACCCGGCAGGGCCGTTTTTTCACCACTTCCAAAAAATGTCCCTTGAAAATGGAAACAGAAAAAAAAAGACGGCGACCGGAAACGGCAACAAAACGACTCCAGGATTGGAGCCGGAGCCGGAACCGATCAAAGAACGGCGACGGAACCGGTGACAAAAACGGCGTCGGAACCGGCAAGAAAACGGCAAATCGGAACCGGTAAAAAAAAACGGCGTCGGAACCGGCAAAAAAACGGCAAAACGGAACCGGCAACAAAAACGGCCCTGTCGTTTCCAGGGCCCACGAAGGTCCAGGCCCACGGCATCGGCGGCCCAGCGTGGCCCATGTGGCCAAGGGCCACAAGGGTGCCACGTTCCGAGGCCCTCGATCCCTCCTCGAGGCCTCAACGTGGAGGTCAACCCCTCGGAGTACGGGAACCGGGGCGAGCCCCCCAGGACGCCCCCCTCTTGACCGTCGCCCGCCGAGCTTTCTCCTCCTCCTTCCTCCTCCCGCCTCCCTCCTACCTCCTCGGTCCCTCCTCCCTATTTCCTTCTCTACCCCTCCCTCCCTCCTCATCCTCCTCTTCCTTCTCCCTCTCCTCCTCATCCTCTCTATACGGTACCCTTTCCTTATAAATGATTCCCTGTCGCACCCCGAAGCCAGTCGAAAGGGCCGGGCGTTTCGAATGAGATTTCTTCACCATGAAGTTGGAAATTCTAGACGCTTCGCGTATCCCCACCAGCCCGTCCAGAAACGACGCCCAGGCGTGTAGAGGGTCGTCCTGAGGGGCTTTTCGGCGTCTTGGGTGCCTCGGGGGGGCCTCTGTGGGCCGTTCGGGATCCTCTTTGGGGCCTCCTGGGGGCCTCTTGTGGCCTCTTGGGGCCATCTTGGGGCCTTTGGGGGCCTCCTGGGCACTTCTTGGGGCATCCTGGGCGCTTCTTGGGCTCCTGGGGGCCTCTTGGGGGGCCTCGGAGCCATCTTGGAGGAGATCGATCAACGAAGGGGGGTTCCCCAATTACAGCCCCCCCCTCAGGAGCCACGATCCTCGTGAGGGGTGTCGAATTTTAGCCCTCCCAGGGGTCGATCTTGGACGCTCCAACGCGTCGCGGAACCCCCTGTCCAGGTCAGTGGGGAGGGGGTAGGGGGAGGGGTAAACCCCTCCCCGAAGGGGAAGAAGGAGGGGTGGAAGAGGAAACGCTCTAAACCACCGACGCCCAGAGGGCTGGTGGGATTTGCAACAGTTTCGAGTTCCCACCTGCCCCACAGGTCCCTCAGGTCACCGTTGGTGTTAAACTTCTTTGCTGGGGTACTGGAGAGACAGGTCGGCTATGACACGCGTCCGCGGATAGAGAAAAGTCAGCGCAAGTGGAAAGGAGGAGAGAGAGGGATAGGATGTCAGAGGTGGCGCGAACACGCCTAGCTCACCCTCTCCCTCCATCCCTCCTCCCTCTCTCCCTCTCCACCCCCAGACCCCCGACGTCATGTTTTTGTTCGGGACGTCGACCCCGAAAGGTCTCGACCTCTTTCCCGGGACCAGTTTCTCATCCCGAGTCGTTTTGTTGACGGCCCCGAGGCTCAGCAAGGGCCCCCAGGGGCCAGAAAATAGCGAAAAAGTGTCCGTCGCGATTTCTTCATGACTCGGGGGGGGTCTGGGTCCCAGAGGATAGCGACAAACCTTCCGTCGTGAGTTTTTTGTTCATGGCTCGAGGGGGTCTGGGTCCCAGAGGATGGCGAAAAACCTTTTGTCGTGAGTTTTTTTTCATGACTCGAGGGGGTCTGGGTCCCTCCCTCGGTAGCCATTTTGGCCAGAGACTTGGCTGTCGGCGACAGCACACGGATACCGTGGAGGCCCATGCCAAGAAACACCCTGCTTGCCTCCAGGGTGCCCCGGGTTGCTTAGGTTTCGATGGTTTTGCGATGGAAGGCGTGGCGTTCTCGCACCAGAAATCGATGGACGTCCTGGGGTCTCAGGGCTGGGTGTCTTGCGGAAGGTTTCTTTAGGACTGGCCTCCACTGTACCGCTGATCCGCCGCAAGCACTCAGTGTTCGCTGGGCCCGCCCCCTTGCCAGGGGCAACGATCGGGGGGGATAGGCATAGGGGGGGATGCATCGACCCCGAACCGCCCACTGATCGCCGATGGGGGCCCGATGGCCCCCACCTTCCCAGGAGGGTGCGGATCCACTATCGGAGGCCTTTCGCCGACCTGTCGGCGGTGTCTCGCCGATTCCAGGTCGATGCATCCCCCCCCTCTTTGCCAGTCCCCCCCCCCACATCGTCGCCCATCACCTTGGCCGAGATCGCGCGCGGCTCTCGCCCCACGCACCGAGCAGTGCGGGGCGGAGTGGGATGGCAGAGGGTCTTCGAGTTGCAGCGAGTGGCTCGCTGCGCCGCAGAAGGAAGCACGACATAAGCATGCAGAAAGTGCTGGCGCTCCGCGCGGATGTCTTGGCTCCGCGCCGGGCTCCCCCTGGCGGCGCCACCGGCGCCGCCCCGGGCGCGTTCCGCGCGCCAGGGAGTCCCCATCCCCGTTCAGGGGAGGGGTGGTGGAGGAGGAGGAGGAGGAGGAGGAGGAGGAGGAGGAGGAGGAGGAGGAGGAGGAGGAGGAGGAGGGGAGGAGGGGGAGGAGGAGGAGGAGGAGGAGGAGGAGCGGTGTATCACAGCAGAGGGCGCGTTCTTTGGCTGGCTCGAGGCGCCGAAGTGGGCCCAGCGCCCGGGTCCCCCTCGCTGCTGCCACCAAGGCGGCCGCGCACGCCAAGCTCATCCGCGAGGAGGAGGAGGAGGAGGAGGAGGAGGAGGAGGAGGAGGAGAAGCACCAAGAAATTGGCAAGTCCAAGGCAGCCCAGAGCACCACCAAGACGAGCACCATCCAGTCACCAACGGGTCTGTGAAGGTGACGAGGCTGACCACAGGCGACTTGCCGAGATCGCTTCCTTGCTCCGACAGCTCGGCATGCCTACGGACAAGAGGTGGTGCTCGATGCCAAGAACCGTCTCGTGCTAGATGCCAAGAACCGTCTCGTTGAGACGACGCACGCCCAAAAGCTCAACCAGGCCACGATCCTGGCCGACTTGCGCGAGCAGCAGATCGAGGACGCCCGAGAGCAGCAGAGACCGAAGAGGCAGAGGACGGGGAGGCGGCCATGACAGGGGAGGGGGCGCTTGGCAGCTGCTTCGCCAGCGCCCAGGCCCGTGCAAGGGGAGGGGTCGCTCAAGACCCTGGCGCCCGCGCTCCCAGTCGACAAGCCGGGGCTCCCTCGAGCGGCGCTCGCCGACGACGCGTTGGCCGAAAGCCGGGCCGCCGCCGCCCGCAGCTTGTGCCGGCAGCCCCGCGGCAGAGGGGGTCGACGGCACCGTAACGGGTATTTACTAACGGGCACTTGGTGGCAATTTTGCCGAAAGTTGCCACTTTCGGGCCTCTTTCTGACAATGCAGCGTTGCCCACATCGGGAAGGGTTGGGTTCGCTTGGTCACTGGCCAAAGTACCCGTTAGTGGAGTCCGTTGAGGCGGGGGGGTAGCCTCCGGAGGGCAGAGAAGAAGCAGGAGGGGGGGGTGGGCGGGCTCGGGCACCTCAGGTCCAAGGGGGGGGGAGCTGAGGAGGGGCCTCCCAATCCTTGTTGGAAATATTCCATGGGCGCGCTCTCTCCTGTGTGTGTGTGTCTGTGTTGTTATGTGTGTGTTGTGTGTTGTGTGTTGTGTGTGGTTATGTGTGCTGTGTGGTGTGTGTGTGTTGGGTGTGTGGTGTGTGTTGTGTGTGGTGTGTGTGGTGTGTGTGGTGTGGGTGTGTGAGTGTGTGTGGTGCGTGTTTGGTGTGGGTGCGTGAGAGAGTGAACGTGTGAATGTGTGTGTGTGAGTGTGGGGGTTTGCGTGTGCGGGTGCTTTTCCGTGTGCGTGAGCGTGAGCGTGTGCGTGTGCGTGTGCGTGTGCGTGTGCGTGTGCGTGTGCGTGCGTGTGTGTGTGTGTATGTGCGTGCGTATGCGGGTGGGTCGGCGTGCGGGCGCTGGCGTGCGTGCGTGAGCGTGCGTGTGCGTGTGCATGTGCGCGTGTGTGCGCGTGTGTGTGTGTGTGTGTGATGTGTGTGTGTGTGTGTGGTGTGAGTGGGCGTGCGTGGGCGTGCATGCGTGTGTGTGTGTGTGTGTGAGTGTGTGCATGCGCTGTGTGTGTTGGTGGTGTGAGCTGGTGGTGGTGGTGGTGGTGGTGGTGGTGGTGTGTGTGTGTTGTGTGTGCATTTGCGTAAGTGTGTTTGTGTGTGTTTGTGAGTGGTTGTGTGTCTTTGTGTGTGTATGAGTGTTGGGTTGTGTTGTGTCGTGGTGTGGTGTAGTGTGTTGGTTTGTGTGTGTGGATGTGTATAGGTGTAGGTATAGACGAAGGTGTGTGTGAGAGAGTTGCGCGTGCATGTTTACGTGTGCGTGTGTGTATGTGTCTGTGTATGTGCGTATGTGTCTGTGTAGGTGTGCATGCTGCATGTGTGTGTGTCTTGTGTAGTGCGTGTGAATGTGTTGTGTGTGGTGTGTGTGTGTGTGTCGTGTGTGCGTGTGTGTTGTGTGTGAGTGTTGTGCGCGAGTGTGTGTGTGTGTGTGTGTGTGCACGTGTGTGTTGTGTGCTGTGTGTCTGGCGCGCCATCCGCCCCAGGTGGCGCGCCTCCCCTCCCGCGGTGGGCCGCCTGCCGGCCGCCAGCTCTTGCTGCTCTGGCCACCGCTCTGCTCACTGGCCAGCCTTGAGCCCTTCAACTGCAGCCGCTGCCCCGTCCCTGGGTGCGGATGTGACGCCGCCCGCCGCGCCCGCTGCCAGGGGTACGGCACCGGCTTGGCCGCCCCCGTCGCCCCGCTGCGGTCCCCGCCGCGTGAGCGCGTCTGCTCCCTTTCATTTTCCCCTTGCCCTTCCTCTTCTCCTTGCATCTGGGGCGATTCGCACTGCCGCCAACCAGCCTGCTGAACGCGCTCGCGGACTGACTCTGCCGCGCTGCGACGTAACAAAAAGTAGGTGGTGCGCGCGTAGGTGCATTATGTGTTGCGTGCTGTGTTTTGTGCGTGTGCGCGTGCGTGCTTGCGTACGCGTATAATGTGTGTGTGTGATGTGCTGTGCTGTGCTGCGCTGCGCCGCGCTGCGCCGCGCTGTGCTGTGCTGTGCTGTGCTGCGCTGTGCTGTGCTGTGTTGTGCCGTGTTGTGTGAGCTGCGTGTATTGTGTGTTGTGCGCTGTGCGTTGTGCGGTGTGTGATGTGTGGCGTGCGGTGTGTGGTGGGTTGGGGCGTGTTGTGTTTTGCGGTGTGGTGTGGTGTGGCGTGCTGTGGTGTGATGTGGTGTGTGTATGGTTGTGTGTGGGCGGGGGGCGTGCGTGCATGCGTGCGAGTGTGTGTGCAGGATCGGTTGGCCGATGAGGAACTCGTCGACTTCATCTTGAGCGGGTCGTCCGCGGCGCAGGGTGGGTGACCGGACGCAGGGGATCTGCCCAGATTTGCACCTCCCGTCACGGCCTGGTTCGCCCCACGAGCCGTCCCATCAACATGTCCCCAGACGCAGGCGAGGTGGTGGTCAGGAGCGCCGGAGCTGCCACCGCCGCGCCCCAACGCACATCGTGCTGGGTTGGACCGTTGCCTGGGACAAGCGGCCGCCCCCCTCGCCGACGGCGGCAGCAGCGCTGGGGCCAGCAGCCGTGGATACCGCCTCTGGCGCACGGCGGCGTGGCGGTGCGTCTTTGGCCCGCTCATGTCGATTCTTCTGACTCGAGTCGACTCGATTTCGACCGATTCCGGTTCGATTCGATGTGCGATTCTGATTTGGAATTTTGTTTATCGATGGAGGTTTCATTAGCTTGCCGGGTTCCTCCGATACGGCTTATCCCGACAGGTTGCCGATCTCCGCCGATCCGATGCATTTTGATCGCCGAACCGACTTGTCGATTCGATTCTGAACTCGCTTGCAGAACACACACACACACACCGCCTGGCCCACCTGCGGGACGGATCCCCCTGAGGGCCTGCGCATCCATCCATCCGTGCTCGCCAACTTCACGGCATGCCAGGGTCGCAGACCTCCTGCTTGGGGTGCCGGCGCCGCTGAGCGCGGCGGTGCGGCAAGAGCGGCAGACTTGGGCAAGCGCTGGCGCTGGGGGGCTGCGGTGGGGCTGAGGCGTCCGCGTGCGAAAGTATGAGGTGCCAGACTGCTACTGTCTTCTGGACACCGATACATGCGTCCCCATCCCTTCCTCGCCGATCCCAGCAGTTAGCCAAGCCGCCAGCAACGCCCACAACCTTCCAGCAATGACGCCGACGACGACGACGACGACCCCTCAGATCCCGCGTCACAAAATACAACATCGTAGCAAAACTCGACCGAAACCTGGGACCCCTCCCCTTCAACGGCACTCGCTCGTGCGGGGCATCCCTCCGCGCAGGATCGCCGCCATGGTCCAGAACATGGTGAACGTGTGCTTGCTGGGAGGATCCTGGTTCTTCATGAAAACGTGCGCATATGTTGTGTCTTGTGAGCGTCGTTGGCAGAGGAAGCAAATGTACTTTCACGGGTACCTATCTTCTCATATTGCTTTTGGAGGGCCTCTTAGGGGGACCCTCGCCACGGCATCTGGCGCCACTCGGGAGAGGGCCGGGAAATAATCGTATCGGTATGTTTTGATCCGCAAAGAAGTGAGCACGCCGAGTGGCAGCACGTTCGCGGGTCGGCCGTCTTCGATCTCTGACCCGGGAGGCCGAGACTTTCCTAAGCGATTGAAGCGATGGATGCCTTTGGTTCTCGTGGGGCCGTTTTTGCCGTCTCGGAAGCACCTTGGATGTCCAGCTGGATAGATTGCGCACGTGTCCCTTGGCCCCAGGCCCGACCCGACCCGCCCGTCAGGGTCCGCTTGCCCGGCCCGACCTGCCCGGTTCTCGCATGCCGGTTCGATCACGCATCGTATTTTAATGTCCCGCCCGCCCGATCCCGCCCGCCCGTTAGGGCCCGCCCGACCCGACCCGTCCGTTGGGGCTCTCGCGTGCCAGCTTGAGTACGCATCATATTTGAACGTCTCGCGTGCCAGCTCGGTTACGCAATTACTTCAATGTCCCGCCCGACCCGACCAACCCGTTGAGGTCAGCCCGCCCGCCCCGACCCGCCCGTTAGGTATCTCGCGTGCAACCCCGATTACGCATCATGTTTTGATGTCCGCCCGCCCGCCCCGACCTGCCCTTCAGGGCTCTCGCGTGCCAAGTCGATCACGCGCGACCCGATCTGCCATTAGGGCCCGCCCGACCGTTTCGACCCGCCGTTTGGGCTCTCGTGTGCCAGCTCGATCACGCGTCATCATTCAATATCCCGCCCGCGGGACCCGATCCGCCCGCTGGGGTCCGGCCCCCCCCCTCTCCGCCCTCGCCGTCATCGTCGACGTCGTCGTCGGCGTCGCCGTCCTCGTCACCGGCGTCGTCGTCGCCCTCGTCGTAGTTGTCGAGCTCGACGTGTTCGCTCTCTCTTCATCATGGTCGACGCCCCCGTCGTTGTCGTCGTCGCCCCCATGTCCAGCTGGATGGATTGCGCGCTACTCGAATGCACCCGCATATTCCGGATTCCAGATTCCCGATTCGAGGAGGCTCTAGGCTCTGATGCAACTCATGTTCTGGATTCTGGATTCGAGGAGGTTCCCTTCCAGCGTTGAAGCATCACGCTTTCGGATTCTCGAGACGAAGAGGCTCCCAGATGCATTGCATCTTCCAGATTCCGAATTCGACCTCAGGAGGCTCCTGGCTCTGATACATCACATTCCAGATCCGACCTCTCAGGAGGCTCCCAGCCTTCATATGCATCGCATCTTCCAGATTCCGGATTCGAGGGAGGAGGCTCTTCCGGACCCCGGATTCCGGATTCGAGGAGGCTCCCAGCTTTGATGCATCGCGTATTCCGGATTCGAGATTCCAGATTCCGGATTCGAGGAGGCCTAGGCTCTGATACATCGCATCTTCCAGATTCCAGATTCCAAATTCGAGGAGGTTCTTGACCAGCTCTGATGCATCGCATCTTCCAGATTCCAGGTCCGATTTTTCACGAGGCTCATTGTTTCAAGTCGGGACGATGTTTTTATTAGTCTTGATGTTTTTGTTGGGTATTGTTTGACTATGTCATTTTTCGTCCAAAATCCGCCTGTAGGAGGACATGCCCGACCTAATCTTTGCTCTGATGCATCGCATCTTGCAGATTCTGGATTCTTGTTTCAGGAGGCTCCCAGCCGGCTATGTTTTGTATTCCGGATTCGAGAAGGCTCCCGGATGTGATGCATCGCATTTTCCAGATTTTGGATTCCAGATCCATTCTCTCATGAGGCTCCACGCCAGTTTTGATACATCGCATCTTCCGGATTCTGGAATCGAGGAGGTTCTTTGTGTTTCATCGCATCTTCCGTATTGCAGACTCCAGATCCGACCTCTCAGGAGGCTCCCAGTTTTGATACATCGCATCTTCCAGATTCCGGATTCTCAGGAGGCCCAGTGGTTCATGAGGCTCCAGGAACTGCTGCATCGTATTTTCTCGATTCCAGGTTCTGGATCCGACAGCTCATGAGGCTCTGATGTATCGCATTCATCCGGGTTCCATATTCACCTTTCGCAGAATGCGAAGAGTTTCTGCCACCCTTGCGTTGCCACGTGACGAGCGGAGCACGTTTTCTGACCTTCGCGATGCCACGTGGCGAGTAGAATAGATCAACCGTGTTCGCCCTTTCCGCAGGCGTTGCCAAGTGATGGGTAAAACAAAATACTATCTGTTTGAGCCGCTTTGCGTTGCCACGTGACGAGTAGAGAGGAATAGTATTGTGTCCGCCCTTTCGCGTTGCCACCAGATCCTCGGGCAGAAATGCAACCGGAAAAGGTGCACGCGTAGTTACGCAAACAGATGGAGCGTGCAGATGGTCCGACCGAATTTTGGGATTTAGAGTTCGGTCGGTGCATGCCCAGCAGCAGCCAGAAATTCGCCGTGCGTCAGTCGTGTGTGTCGCCCGACAATGAGGTGGCGCCCATGCGGTTCGACGAGGGCTTCCGAAAATTGTTTTCAAGCCTCCGGAGCGGCGGCATCGTCGGCATTATCGATCTTCGATCGTCCAGGATCGACCCAGACATTCGGCACCTCGACAAACATCGGAGCGGTTGGTTTATCAGAACTTCGTCATGTGGTTTCGGGCCTCGGTATCGTCGAAACACGGCTCGGGATGAAAACCAGCCTTGTGGAAGGGGTCGAGATGTTCAGTGGTTGACGCATCGAGAAATCGAAGCGCCAGATGGTTGGGGCGGGTGTTTGACGAGGTCAGAATAAGGAGCCGAAGAAAAAGAGGGCGAGGACGGAGGACGAGGAGAAGGGGGGGATGAGAAGGAGGAGGACCAGGAGGAAAGGAGGAGAGGAGGAGGAGGAGGACCAGAAGGGAAGCGCCCTCTCCCGAAGGGGGTGACGTCTTCACCGTACGGCCGACCGAGGCGGATACCTACAAGAACAGGAGTCCCGCCTGCCAGCGGTCCCTCCCCCTGGGTCTGCGGGGGGCCTGGAGGGAGGTGTGACAAACGTAAAGGAAGGAAACACAGCGTGAACTGTTATCCCGCGTGGACCCGAACCAGTACGTGATTGCACTGTGGATATTTGCGCTGTGTATTGCAAGCTATGTGGTGTGGTGTAAGTGGTACAATATATGTGGTGCAAGCTATGTGGTGCAATCGGCGGCGAGCCCAGGGGGAAGCGAGAGGGGGTATGCCTTTCCAGAAGGTCGCGGGGCTTCTCGGAAGCCCTCGCGCCTTCTCTCACTTCCCCCCTGGGCTGGCCGCCAAAGTAAGCCACGTGGTGAGGCGGCAACCGGGCAGCGCGGGCGGTAACGTGGCGAGTCTTCGGCACACCCATGCGGCACGGGCGGCAACGTGGCGAATCTTCGGCACACACGCGCACACACTCACACAGTGCACGAGGCGGCAACGTGGCGGCACCAATGGGGGACCAGCCGAAACCCGAAACCCTGACACCCCCACACAGCGCACGAGGCGGCAACGAGGCAGCAGCGAGGTGGCACCAACCGGGTACCAGCCGGATCCCCGACGCAGCCGCCCAGTGCACGAGGCGGCACCAGCCGGGCACCTGCCGAAAACCCGACACACCCTATCCAGCGCACGAGGCGGCAACGAGGCGGCACCAGCCGGGCACCAGCCGGAATCCCGACGCACCCATCCACAATCAGAGCCCCCGTGTGCAAGCGCCGCTTGCGGGAAAGACCGTTGGAGCTCCGCTCGGATGTCCCGGGTCTGCGCTGGACCCCCCCCCCCCGCGGCGCCGCCCCCGGCGCGCTCCGCTCTCCTCCCTCCCTCTGTAGGGGGACACGCCGGATTTAACACATGGCCCCCCGTGCTGAGAAGGGCGCGCCGTTGGCATTTTCGGAGCCGGTCGCGCGGCGCGTCAGGGTGTTCGGCGAGACCACGACGCCGATCACGACAGCGAGCGCCTCGCTGCTTCGCTCGAGGCATCCTCGAAAAATCGCCCCCCCGAGGGGACTCCGAATCGACGTCGTCTTGGAGTCGCTCCCGGAGGGCTTTTGGAACGGCCCGAAGGAGGCCCAAGAGACGCCCCAGAGGGCCCCTAGAGCGCCCACGAGCGCCCCAAGTGGGCCCCAAGAGACCCCGAAGAGCGCTCCACGAGGCACCCAGACAGCTCAGGAGAGCCCCGAGACGGCCCAAGCAAGACGGCCCAGGATGGCGCCGAGACGACACAAGAAAGCTCCCAAAGAACCCCACGACGCGCCCAGACAGCTCAATAAGACTCCAGAAGCCCACAAGAGAACCCAAGAGGCCCCCCAAGAAGCCCCACACGGGCCCCAAGACAACCCCGCCCAGCGCCAGGAGCCCCCAGGGTAGCCCGATAGGCGCAGGTCCAGAAAATCTCACAAATCTTCACGGCCAGTCGTTGTCAAAGTCCTAGGCGTCCGGATACCGCTTCCCCGCCCCGGGACCGTCAAAACATTGTTAGGGATGCAACCCCAAGACAATGCTTCCGGGGAAGAGATCGAGATGCTTGGGGTCCGACGCAACGAAACAAGTGTTGCGCGAAAATCGACCGTCGGAGGAGAGGGGAGGACGAGGAGGAGGAGGAGGAGGAGGAGGAGGAGGAGGAGGAAGAGGAGTCAAGACTCAAGAGCCGGCCTGAGCCCGAAGCTGGAAGCCAGCCTGAGCCAGGCGTCCAGCTGCCTGTGGCCGCCGTGCTGCTTGTGGCCGCTCTGATGCTCGTTGTCCACCTGCATGCAGCCGCTCTGCCCCTTGTAGCCGCAGCCGTTGTCCAGCCGGTCGCGGCCGCTCCGCCGCTTGTTGTCCAGCTGCGTGCAGCCGCTCGGCTGCATGCAGCTGTTCTTCGACCGGTCGCCTAGCCCCTCCGCCGGCCGCTGCTCGCAGCTGACGGCGTCGGGCGGCTCGTAGCCGTAGTGTTAAGTCGGGCCTGTCCCCCTACAGGGGGACTTTCGACGAAAAATTAACAATACCCCAGAAATAATCAAAACATCGTCCACAAACAGTCGGGGGACTATTAGTGTTAGTATTTGTTGTCCTTGTTGGGGCATTTTTGGAGTATTTTTGATTTTTCGTCGAAACCCCCTGTAGGGGGACACGCCCGACATAACCGTAGTGCTCCCAGAAGCGGCACGGAGGCGAGGCCCGCGCTGCGCTCGCCGCCATGCCGGTCCGTCGTCCGTCGTCGTCGT